CGCCAGCCACTATAATTTGCAAACCCAGTTATTGGAATCGCAATCCCAGAACCCGACTGTGCTGGGGCGAAATTCCAGTAAGGTCGCGCACTGCTAATAAGACCTCATTCTTTAGGTCACTTAACACCAGCTACATTTCCAAGATTCAAGAACCAATATATCAAACAAAAACTCATCATTTGATTTTAAAAAAATCTATATCCTGGTAAAGCATAGAGAACAAAGCACAATTCCCCGTCTGTCTACACGAGCTTAATAAGGATTCTTTCACATGAAAGAGAACTGATAAGACCAAATGAATTCTCCGACTTATCCGTCCTACAGCGGTTTTGGTTGGTACATTTGGGTTCTCCGCTGCTTGATACTGTGCGGAACTTAAATCGCAGCGGGTAAGGGAATGGCTTGTCTAAGGATGGACGTTTTTCAATTCTTATTAAATCCTCTTCTCCCTTTCAATCGTCTTAATCAATTGAGTGAAGGATGGCTTCATTCCTCATAGGATTCGGTCACTTAAGACCCAATGTCGTTGAGGCGAATGTAATTACATCTCGATCACGTATCTTTTTTCCAAGAGACATTCACTCAGTTAAGAAAGACACTTTCAAGATCAATTTTCTTAAAGTGTCTTCATTATTCCTTTTTGATAAAGGAGTCACTTGCCATTTTCTTTGGTGGAACCTTCTTTGCATATACTGTGCCATGGTGCCGAGTTTATTGCATATTACCTCTAAAGAACTGTGACAGAACGTTCGTTCTTTCTTCCGAGTGGTTTTATTTATTTTAAAGTTATTAACAATCGCCACTTTTAGAGATCTGACCACTGTTAGTAGATTTGTTTTGACGGTCGTCATCAATGTTTGTCATCAAAACTTATATCTTATTCCCGACTGTTTATTGGAATCGATTATAATATGGCATCAATATGTGAAATGCTATCGAAATTTCAACACGCGGCCATAAGCAAAAAAAAAAAAAAAAGAATGTTTTAGTGTTTATTTTTTTCCAACTTGATTAATTCAAAATACACTTTGGAACTACATGCATGTGATATGTTCGCCAATTTAGGCTGTTATAAGCCGCATAAAAATAAAGGTGGTTAAAAGTAGCCAAGTCCGATATTTTTCAGTATTGCCCAACGGTTTACTAGGTCATAGTTTCCAGTTACCCCAAACGAGGTTCTCTTTTTCGAAAACACGGCCATGCGGAATGAGTATTGATGAAAATGTGACTACTTGATGGCATTTCTCGTAGAAGTTTAGCTTTTGGTAGCTCCGTTCCAGTGACACCTACTGTCCAACTGAAACACATATTCTTGTCTTATAGAGATGAACTTTTAGGATCCAGAAGCCGTACGACGTACAAAATGTATTGTTACTTTTCTGTTCTTTAATGAGTGTTAGGGATCAAAGTACTTGAAAGTTTTCTACCGGAATCGGTGGCGCAGTTGACATTATTTCACGACCAAAACAGTCGCGTTGTCTTCGTATGAACGCAAAAGCCAACAGTCTGTACCATATAGTTATATACTGATGAGGTATTATTTCATGAAATAAAAATATTAAATAAAAAAACATAGATATATGTAGGTTAAATTTCCATTTCTACCGTTTTTATGTGCCCACGGGGTAACCAACTTTTTACCTATAGTTATTTCAAAAGTCATGTTTATACGCATTTTGATTTTTTTTAGTTTTGTAAAAGATATTTCTAAAGTGAAAGTTAATCCTAATTCTATTTTAAAATAATGGAAATTAACGTGATTCTTTTATAAGTGAAAATACAATAGTTTGAGCTAATTCTCATAGCTTCATGCAGTTGAAAAAAGGGTGGCAAAAGATATGTCGACATCTTGCGTGTCTTTGGTCGGTCATACGTAAACCCCAATGAGCATGGTAATCTTATTCCATTTGTGTTGTGATAAACTTTAAATAAAAAAAAAACTTTTGAAAATCAAAGTGCCAGATCAGTTTTTAAAAACCCTAATACAATAACCAATTTGTGACTTGGGTTAGGCACAGAGCGTAATCAATATCTTTGATTTTCTGAGTAAACGTGCAAACGTGGAGGTCAAAGATGATGGAATCGCGTTCGGTCTGCGTGCCAAATCTCACGAATTGTTCTTCAATTTATAACCAAACTAATAACCAGGCGTGTAAAAAGTAAGAGTGGCCCTTTCTACTTTATTCCAATCCCAGGCGTCCGCTCTGTGGGACTTGTAAATTGAATTTATGTCTAACAGTCTCGGTAGTCGTTAACAGTATTGTATAAGTTTGTCTATTACTGACAAAACAAAACTTGAAAAGGATGACTCACCGTATACTTGAAGTGGTTATTCAAATATTCACTTCTCCGTAAGTGATCTGTTTTCAAGAATGTCTGTCTTTGCCTCGAGCCGGGACAGTAGATTTCACATTTTATTTCCTGTATTCCTTATTTTTAATAAGACTTGAAGGGATCCATCTGAAACGCGTTCAAGATAAACTAGGACTGATAATTTCACAATAACTTGCAACTTTCCCCCCCCCAAGGCCGAAAGATTGTCGACTCGCTCGATAGTTGTAAGCTGTATTATTGTGCGTGTCTTCTGTAATTGACAAAGGATACCCAAGGGTTAAAATAAACTCTTTTGCACACTATTCTATCTCCTTTTCACTTAATACTGCACAATAGCGTTCATTGCCCCCAAAATTTTACATTGCGTCCCTCGACACAATTGCGATGGTGCCTGGGCAAACGTTTCGTTTCATTGGTGCGTCGATCACTTTCTGTTGCTTCGGTCTGTGTTTCTTAGTCATTTTTTATTTGTTTGGTGTATTGTTTATCATGATTTTATCTCGTATCTGTTGCCACGTATTGGGAATAGGCCATTGTTCAAAGATATCTGTCTTACTTAATAGTTCTCTAAATTTGCTATTGACTTTGTAATATTTAATTCGCACAGCTGTGTTCACGAAAAAAATGTCCCAATTTATTGGCCATTACTGCTGATATCAAACTCCAATATAACCCTATTACAGACATCTGGTTGTTGAAAGCTTTGATTTTTAGGCATAACTCACAATTTCCTTATCCAGAAGACCTATTGGTATTTATACTGTGCATCGCCATCATTAACATTTCTATTTAGCTGTCAGTCGCACAGCTTTAAGCCAAGGAACCATCATTAAGTCTATTCTTCACTGTTGGTCCTTATCACTCCTGTGGGGCCGTTGAATTGATGGTGATGAATAGGAACTCATGAGCGCGTGGGGTATTGCATAATTACCTTTTAATTAGCCACAAAAACAGACTTCGTTTTGATGTGTGTGCGTATAAAAAACTGACCTTGAAGCCGAATGGAGGTTGGCTTCAGAAACAAAAGACGGTCTTGTAAACAGGACATTGCATGATTATTGTACATAATAGCTGCAAATTAAGACATCTCTCCATCGACTTGGTTACAGGCTACCCAAGCTGAAGAGTGTGACGTGGCAATTTGTATCGAGTAAACTGATGGTAATGACAAAATATTCGATTTAACGACGGCTCGTCATTCTACCCACTTTTCTTTGGGCAGGCAACGTAATAAAGTTGTCAAAAAGACAATAGTGTTTGGGAATAAGGGAGTATGAAAATTGTATAATCGGCGTTGAATAAGTCATATAAAAGACGTTTCGTATTGATGTGACCAAAACCACCACAAGGACGTACACCATAGTCCATGTTTTGCAGTTAATAAGATGCCAGAACGGAAGAGAATCCGACAAGTAAAAAGCATAATTGCGATTCTTATCCCTTAGAAAGAGAGAAGAGCTAGGGGACTTTAGATTGGAGAATTAGACCGAAGTTAAAGAACTTTCATGTTAAGCTACAAATAGGTGTCATAGGCAAAAGAAATTGCGACAACCTGAAAAAAATTATTCGATGAGAAACGTTTGGTGATGTAAACGTAGCCTTTTTTTTACTTGCTTCTAAACTTCAGTAGATTTTGGCATACTGAGCTAAAAACAGGTTCTGGCACACCGGGGGAAGATTTATTATTTCTCAAGTGCAAATTGAAAACGATTTAGATCAACTAATTATGCTTGACTAGTCACAGTGCTTGAGTAATGGAGTCTAAAATGATGTATATTGTATGAATAAAAACGACAGATCACACTTCAAATCAGATTAGTTTGTAAATATAAATAAACGGAACAAATAATGATGGTAAAGTTAGGCAAAAACTACGGAAAATGTCCTCAGATGACGCCTACGCCAATTGTTGTGTTAAAAAGCATCCTTGAATGCCCAGGACAGCAGAACACGAGCAATTCAATAGAGGTTGACGAAACTTTGACAAATACCAACGTCATTGGCACACTGATCCAACACAGGCTCTAATGGTCCCTTAACTTGAAATGGAAAGACCATTAGATAATCAAACTTTTAGAATACCACGCCAGCTTTTTCAAGTGCTTTCTCATGTTTGTTTCATCATTTTGCTATCTGCTTGGCACCGTAGGCGACATTCCAAGTTCTTACCGCGAGCCGTGCCTAACGGAGATTTCTGTGGCAAACCCCCTTGGGAGACATTTGTATAAGAACACAGCCTTAAATGTGCTGTTAAGGACCTTAAATGAGACGACTAAAAATCATTAAAAAGTGCAACAATTCTTTTTAAACCCACCGTTAATGGGGTTCCTTTTGGACAAAGCTCGATCGCATCTTCGCACTTTAATCTACCACAGCAGGAAAGAAGTGTCTAATAGCTCGAAGCTTGGTTGTATTCTACCTTTTGAAACTATCGCGTGTTTCTGAATCTTCCCGTCTCGTATAATCTAGTTTATACAAAGAGGTTCATTAAGACCATGAACATTGCAATTCGAGTGGAAAGTAGTAGGCTTTAGCAAGTTAACCGGCGGTTTCGGTGGTTTTAGAGATTCGCGTGTTTGAGTATCTCAAACAATTTTAACCTTAAGCCCTTAATGTCACGAATGAGTTCTTAATATGTAATCACTAGGAGTCAATGAAACACCTACCTGTAAATACTTGACGATCTTGCACATGATCGGGCCCATGAAAAAGGTGTAGGTGATGTCTTCTAAACAAGTAGATGGGAGGCAAATCAAAATAACCATGAAGTCCGCAATGGCCAAATTTACAAGGAAAATGTTTGTAACGGTTCTCATGTTAGGGTTCTTCCACACGGCGTAACACACAAGGAAATTGCCAACCAAACCCATGACAAAGACAATGATATAAAACGCTATAGCCACCCATTCAAACGTCGTAGGGAAGATGTACGCTTCAATTTTGTCAATGTAGTCTTCGTCACTTGTACAGTATACGTTGTAGCATATTTTTGAGATGTTCTTCGTCGCGTTTGCTGCAGTCAAGTTGTCCATGCCTTCGTCCGTGATTTCGCTGTCTGCCATAATGGTTAATAAACGCCACGTATATTGAAACGCTTGTCCCCCAGGAATGAAGTTCAAAGCACTTCGCGCTTTTTGAAGCCTTATCGAGAAAACTGATGGAAGACCTTCGAATTCACTGACTTTTTCCTCAATTTCTGGATCAATGATAAAGGTTCAAAAGTCCTCAGTCGGTACTAAATTGCGGCTTCTAATTGCCTCGTTGTTGTTGCAGTTGTGGCATGCACGGCAGTTAGTAAGTTTGAACCATTCAATGAAATCCAACACAGCATTCAATGAAATCCAACACAGCGGCTGTGCGCAACCTCATCTAATTCTCATGCGTCAGTTAAGCTCGGAGCAGAGTGGTTCTTCTCTGACTAGCTCTTCATCCCTTGATTTCACCAATCAATCCCCTGAAATGACAAATAGGAAGTTTTATTTTTACAGGTTGTACGATTTAGCATAATTGTGGTAATTACGTGAGCAACGCGTAAATAACGCCGGTTCTCGCCATGCAAGAAAGTCAAGAGCTGGAAATTAAGGATACATCTTGCAGAGGCTATTCTTCGTTCTAATAAGGCGAGAGAGCTATGGTAATATAGAAAAAGACATTTTTCTCGGTGGATGGTACAATACTGTTAAATCAAATGCTACGTTAATGTATTTCAATAGTTTCAATCTTCGCTGCTGTAATGTAAAGTAGGACTATAGCGCTAAAAGATTGCCGATAGATTTCGAGTGTTCGTTTCAATAATGCACCGTGACTTTAGAAAAAGATCATTGCTTCGTGTTTTAGAAGCAGTTAACTTTTTGCCATTCAAATTCATGCGATTTTCTACCTAATATATTTAGTATCGACGGGAGTACGCCTCCGTGCTAGGCAAAAAAGCGACCACGCAGGGTTTTTCAAACCTCAACCCATTGAATATGTACTCATATTCATCGGAATCGCATACAACTGATGAATGTCAGACTTACGTGTTTGTTTCTGCTACATGTAAGCAAAATATATTTTAAAATAAACATCCACTGATATTCCGTTTGGTTCAGCATGACTTGTCAATAATCCATAGATCTTTAAACTTTACCACCTTTTAAATCTCTAAAGTTCAGTTTAGTGTATGGATCGTTGTAGTAAACGTTAAATGACTGAATGCATGCTAAGATCACGACAGTTGTTCGCATCCCACTATAAACCCTCCGTGAAGCAGATTGATATCTATTAACGGTTAGGAAAAAAAAAGTATACACGCGAAACTGGAAAAAGCGTGTTCTGCCTGTTGAGGTGTGGAGCGTGTTGAAATCCATCTCTTTTATCAGAACGCCTATATTTTAAAAACAGACCGAAACATTTGGAAGAAGCAACGTATCTTTACTGAGTTTCTTTGCGCCATTCACCACATGACATCAGACTCATCTTCGCTAAAATGAGCATGTAGGTGATAAGCTAATATGGCCATGTAGATAATAAGCCGGCTCTTTTAAACAACAGTTCAATTTTCATAATCTACTTCGCCTTATTAAGTGGCGCGGGTCAACTTCTGGGCAGCTAGCTACTTCTCCCGGAGAAAGGAAATTGTTTGTTCAAGATTAAGGAAACAAAAACATCAGCCACTAAATGCGTTAGCCCAGGGTCAAAATTGCACTTTGATGTAGATGGAAGATATTCGGCAGTCAGGTGTATTTGACGTATCAACGCACGTATATAGTAAACAGCAGAAGTACGGAACGTCTCGTAACTGTCAGTTAATTTTATACATTTTCCTTCTGAAGCGATTTTCCAATCACGCAGTCAAGTTGCTTGACTCATGTAAAGTAGGAGAAAATGAAGAAATTCCTAGGTTCTAACGTTTTGATCATTCATATAAATTGTGAAAAATTGCACATAGTCTAGCAAGGCTGAAGTGATAAGAAATTCTGTCTTCAGATTTTAAAAAAATCTTCATTATGTTTAACATACCCCTGGTTTGATAGTAAAATAGATCAATAGATCAATTTTTGATCCTCTCAACAACATACTGAAATTTATTGCAAAAAAAAAGGTCGATTGAAGAATGTAAGAAAAGACATAAACCTTGAAGACTGATGACCAGACATGCATTCAGTGCGAGAAGCCTGTATACGCTCTATCGCCAATGCGACAATGACGAACGTTTGGAAACGCTTTTAACCCTCTTACAGGTCTATGATGTGTATTTCGACCCATAAACTGCGTGTCAGAAACCGATAAGAGTTTCTTAAATGGATTTCCAGGCACTTACCTTTCCAGTTGAGGCCATTTTCACCTGAGTTGATTAATTTTGTTTACATATTCCGCAGGAATCTCTAAGACTCAATATGCTGTCATCATCTCTATAGCTCAATCTAACCAAGTCTTAAGTAGACTCACGCTTTCGCCGGATCAGTCTGACTAGATATCAATAACAAACCTCAAGACACGCTTTTATGATGTTTTCCGTGCGCGCCATAGGGTGGGTGGTGCTCTTTAGTCGCTGTAAAACTTTTCAGTTTTGTTTTGAAATATTTCTCTCCTACATGGGGCATAACATTTGGCCAATGTGTGCCCACTATGGGGAAGGGCCAAAGTGGTGGTAAATTTGGTCGATTGGTAGTGGTGGTGTTGGGGAAAGGGGGTGGATGACGTATTGGATATTCTCACATGCGACATTTATGTCCAAGGCTCTCTTAATCTACTTCTGAGGCCTTATTCTTGCCGCCCACCATTCCATCTAAATAATGACTGGGTAATCAATCCAGTGTCCTCTAAGAAAACAATTGGATAGTAGGATACAGCATTTAAGAAAGAGGGGTTATTATTTTTTTTGCAACAGATAGCCAAAAATAAACGAATATATTACAGTTGCAAACACAAGAGTTACTGAGAACAACCGTTTCTGCACTAAATGGGTGCGTCTTGAAAGCCTGTTGATGAAACACGTTTGTAATTAACTTACCGCCATCTCCAAACTGATACAAACCTCAAAATCAAACCTTTTCTTAAGTTTGTCTCTCAGCTGACAAAAATATCATGCTGAAAACCTGATGATTCTTCATAGGATCTGTTTGTCGAAATCAAAAACCTATTTTGCTTATCCGGAAAGTAAGAAAGTTAAATTACATCTCTGTATACTTAACGCCAATAATGCTTTACCTTTGCTGAAGAAAACTCGCCCGTTTCCGCGCAAGCACTAATAACGTCTGGCCGGTTATTTCTCTTCACTGTGTAAATCATTGGGGAGAAACACAGACAATCCCACCAAGTGAAGAGGCAAGTACAACTGGCCTGGTTATAAGATGTAATAGGTCTATAATTGGGAGATAAAAATGAATGGCAATAAATGATAAATCCCCAACAGAGACGGTTCTCGTCAGCCATGTTTCACGCTGAACGGCAATCACGGGGTCTGCTAAAGGCATAAGAAAGAGCATCAATTACTTTTATCTTTGTGAGGTCAGTCCGGAGTCAGCTGCCTCCTTTAATACTTTTGTGATGCTCATGCGTATTTATGCTGCTAATATTGTTATATCTGACAAACAGGCATTTGTTCTACCCAATTCATTTGACTCTCAGATTTATCAGTTATTAAGCTTGGACGCTTTCACGTTAAATTTTAGTTGAAATGGAAATCACTTTTATGTATTTGACAGGATGATTTCTCTTAAACAACCCTAAATGAGAAAACACTTTCGCCCTTTCTTCTTTTTTAAAACGTAATTAATAGCATGTCAGTCAACAATCTAACTGTGCACTGATGAAAGCTACTTCATTACTGACTGTCAGGAGCGATTGCACGCTTACAATTGCAGACGACATTTCTGTGATTTCTACAGAGAAACACGGACAGCAGACGACCCAAGCGTGAACTGAGGCAACAAGTAGTGGCCCCCGCTATCAGATATTACCAACTGCCCCCTGGGAACTGGGCCAGGAATTACTGCTGCACGACAAGTCTCAAATAACGATTTTTTATCTTGACCATATTGCGGACATTATCGGCCCAAACTTTGGCTTCCAAGGTCAATAAAGCGGACAAGGTTTTGTGGGAGGTTGGGGGGGGGGGGAGGGGGAGGGCAGTGGAGGGGATACATATAAGCAAATATACGTAAAATCCGAATACTTTGCATCTGGATTTGGAATGGAATTCTGAGTTGGGTTTATGCTAATGCTACTTTGAGGGGTTAATATGATTTTCTGCTACATAGTTAATTGAAATTCAGATTGTCTGTATTGAAGGAGTAATCAGTTAACATGATCACGGCATCTATTGCCACTTCTGCCTGTTGCCATGGCATAATTCAATAGTCTATCTATATATATCTGTCTTTGACACCAGGCATGCTGAAATGAATGTCATAATTGACATGTGCTCTGGCATGTGTAGATTAAGGTGGTAGTTATATGGACATGTCTCATACCATTTGAGCTGAAACTCGACCTTGCCCTATTTTTGTTAAGAAATTGTATAAAAGCAAAGCACGTTTGTTTGTCTCAGTGTTCTTGAAGGACAACTAACTCAGTTCATAAACAAATCGTGGAAGGAATAAAATTGAATTTGCAATTGTTGACATTTGAAAGCAACATCACTGCTCACATCATACACATTAGTTTAATCATTCTTCTGAAAAAGACGGATATTTTCCACTTAGCCATTTCAATTTAGATGCAACAAAATGAAAATCAAATGTATATATTACTAAGTAGATTGTTTTGATTGACAATGACTTTAGGATCCAATTGCTCTCATTCAAAATGAATATTGTAAATATCTTCTTACAACTGAGCAGTTTACCCAATCAAAAACTATATATAACAAAACCCCCTGAAGAAAGAATGAAACCGGTCATATATATATATATATATATATATATATATATATATATATATATATATATATATATATATATATATATCACTTAACACAGCTCCTATCAATAAGTTACACTTCTTATCTGTTCGGAATGGATTATTCATGATATATCCTGAGGACGGTTTGGTAAAGAAGATGCGGTATAACACACGAGAGGTACTTTTTGCCATATGTTTTTAATGAATATTCATTTCGTATGAAAAGAAAAGTATTTTATGCCTCTTGTTACTGTGATAGGGGTTCTGAAATATTGAGCCTCTACTGGTTACCATAGTAGATATTTAATGAAGTTTTGTATGACGTTTGTGCATTGAAGATTTGAAGACGGCAAGTTATGGGAATCGCCAGATGGAGAAGCTATTGGAATCTACCGGAAGTAAAAAAAAATGCGTGCATATTTTTTATATGATTAAAGGCTGCTATACTACAAAACTGTCATGATATTTCTTTGTGAAAAAAAAACACAGTTTTGGTTAAAAAAGCACTTAGTGTATCTCTAAACTAGACTCGGCTTTCTTGTTGTCCATAAGATTATTTAAATTACATCCAATATCCATCTATATACCTCTAGTCTATGTTGAAGAATTCTGCTAAGTGCCGAGTCTTAAATTATTTACTAACATTTATGTCTTCATGGAAACTATTATAACGTGGACATGTTGCAAAGACCAGCTTCCTACTGCTTGTTTTTTTTTCTTTTTAGTTTGTCTAAATAACCGTAGATGAAGTGTTTTGATGAGATAAAGCAATAGCTATATGTCCGGCCTTTTTTTTCTTCTTTTTTTGCTTCCTAAATGTGAAACGTTTACCAGGTGCATTGGCGATTTTCAATATAAAGTTTCTTACGTGAAATGAAATGTGAAATGTTGCACACTGAACCACCCTGTCTCTCAAATTCACATAAGGTTTTTGTAACCCATTATTATCATCCGTATACCGAAAATGAGTCTTTTCCAATTGCAGTTAAAATGTCAGTGAAAATGACCGTAATATTTAGCATGCACTTTCACTCTATCCTGCCGAAATCACTAGTTAATGTACGCATGTTAACGTTTTTGCATAAGGAAACAAGAGTGTATCGAGGATGGGGTGATTCAATGATGCAACTATCTTTGCGCTGATTTTAAACAATGAAAAAACCCTCGAAAATATAAAATATCGGCGTTTAAATTTTTTGCGTTGCAATGTATAAGCATAGGCAACTCAAAGCTTTAATCGTCCATTTCACACCTTTCTATCTTAAGGTGAGAAAGCAATCGGTATGGGACGTAACTTCATCCTTGAACAAGATTTCATCACGAAAATTGGCAGAGTTGACCAGGAGAGTATAGGCTACAACTCCGTACCGTCATTTTGGTTTAATGTTATTGTCATGGAGTTATGAGCCCTTTATTACAGATTTTCATTAAACAAAGCTATTATTTTGCTTTATCAACAGTAAAATCTGAACTAAAAATTTTAAGAAAAATCACTGGTAGGGTTTTGGAATACTAAATGGTGTCATTAAATCGGCGTTAAAACGGTGATCTTGGGTGCTCAGGTAAAAGAGAAATTTGAGAAACCAATTTTTTTACCCCAAAATAGCAATTATGACGTCACCCGTAAGATGACATATGTGTAAATGTTAATTAATTTAGTAACTGAACACTGAAGATTTATTTATTACCCAAAAGTACGTATGTAAACTAGTAAATAAGGAGTTATGGGCGAATGGTGACAATATCCTTAAAGTACTCACAATTACTCTTAAAAGCCCAATCTAACTAAAAGCTTACGAACAGCATCAAAACTGTAGATACTAAACAGCTTTATAGATGTTTGCGGTTGTTTACAATTAGATTATACGTTTTGAAATTGGTTCCTAATCAAATACTAATGACAATATTTCTAGAGCTGTCATTTGTAAAATTGGCATTGGAAGCAAAAAGACAGTGATTGTCGTGTGATCAATATGCAGGCAGAAACGACGACGCTATTAGATATCTTTGATTTGTAGCGATAACGAAATTAGAAACCGAATATTTTTGGAAACATTTGTGAAACATTATTATGAATAATGTTGCACAAAACAATGATATTATCTTTATAGAAATTGCATTTTGAGGATGAACAATAATTTCATTTTCTTGTGATGTATTTCAATGCTGCTTTTTTATGACGGCATACATAGGTGGATTTGTCCTCGCTTACTTTCAATTGATTGATAGATAGATTAATTAATTTTTCAAGAGTTACCCAGTGGATGAGAGGAGATACAATTATGCAATCAAGACCCTTTTACCGTAAAGATAATCAGGTTAAAGTAAGTCAGGTAATGTTCTAGACAAAGTATTCTTAACATTCCCAGCTTACAAAATATTTGCTTTGCGCTTACTAGAGTTCACACCGACCCTCTTCTCAATTTATTCAAATTCTTGTTCACAGTTAAAATGGTCAAAATGGCTGAATTTCTTTGAACACAAAAATGTCACAGTTGAGATAAATGAGAGAGTTTATTAGAAAAGATGCTGGTTTGCAAATTATATGTGGAAGATACACTTAAACATCTGTGCTTCCTCCACAAATTCTTCAGTAAGAAAAAAAATTGTTTATGATCATAATAACACTGGCAAGCACAACGACATATGCTTTTTCGACTCTCCTTAAAAGACGCACTTGTAAATCATGGCTTTGAAATTTCTCCACTTAACTTTTACCCAGCACCCACTGAAGTCACTGTCCTCAAATATAGATAATCTTACCAACTACGCTAGCTACTCGAAGATGATTTGCGACTATTCGACTTTCCTTTTCATACACTGCACTTATAAAACAAAGCTTTCGCTATTCGCATACTCAGTTTTTTCCTAGCATTTGCCAAAGTGTAAAGCTGCGACTATTGACTGATCAGCAAATTGCGAGATTTTATTACGTACCAATGGCCATCGATTATTTAATCTTAAGCAATCTAATCCAATCAACATGGTTAATTTGAGTATGACTAGGACGTGAAAGAGATGGCAATATCTATGACGGGAGAACTGCCTAACCCAGCACGCCATTTAATGCACGCTTCCCATCCAAAAATTAATTTAATCATTCTCTGTTACAACTTCAACGCCCACTTTGGCGTGCCTGAACATCTTGGCAAAGGTGCGCCAACGTGCATGTCCGTGAACGTGCGCTTACGATCGACAGTTACACATGGGCTCGTACGCGTTCAATGCTGATTAAGACGACAATTTACTAACATTGCTCCATCAAACCCGTATATGCTATACCATAGATCAGTGTCTAGTGTGCTCCTTACTATTTCGCAGTAGGTTTAATAAGCACTGTGCAAAACCACAGCTGTTCGAAACTGGTCCTGATGTATTTACTGGGCAATTCAAATGATTTAAGTATATTGATTAAATGCCAACACATTGTCTTTTATTTAAGGACTCTTGTATAATAGGTGTGCAACCTTTAAAAATACCTGTATAGCATTGTGAAATTAGAAATA